CAACATATAAATTTATATGAAAAATACTATATTTTTAATATACAGTTAAAACTATTACATAAATCCCTTTTCCTTATAACTATATTAAATTCAAAAAAAGAAAAAAAAAAAAGGAAGGTTCCTAATAATAAGTTTCTAGAAACTCTATTTCAAGCTAAACAGATCTTGTCTAAAAACTAGTAGAAATTCATCCGGTACTCGCGACAATTGTCTTAAATATGTACACGTTCAAGTTCAAGCGAAAAAGCTCAGACCTTTCTTCGCTCTCCCTCCCAAAATTACAGCACAAGGAGAAGAACCCCATACAAAGCAAAAATGAGTAGAGGGTCGTTTAGAAGTGCCACCGTCGGCCAGCTGCTACGGAGAGAAACGACAGCCGCCTTCATCGATCCAATCACCAGAATCCACCCGTTTCTCAGGAACCAACCGCTCACACAGACCAGAGACTATCTGCGGGTCCCTCATTTTCTGAGGAAGGTGAAGGATTATGAAATTTCGCCTTCTCTCTTTTCGTCTGCTTTCTCCTCGTCATCTTCTTCTTCTTCGACGCCGGCGTTTTCCAAAGTCGGATTTGTGGGATGGTATTTGGGGATGGTGAAGTCACGACCCATTTTGACCAAGAGTATCACTAGCTCGGTTATTTATATTGCTGCTGATATGTCATCTCAGGTAAATGTATTAAGCCAATTGATTGCTGGGTATTTATTTTTCTGTTCTTATTATTGAGTAAGAGATCAAAATTGCATTCCCTCTCTGTTTGGTTGCTAAGAAAGTAGAAGAAAAATTGAAGATAATTATTTGACCCCAATTACGTAGACTAACTGACAATTAATTCTGAAATATTTCATTTTTAAATAATGGTTCATATTTGAATTAGTAGTGGTTAATGTGTCACATGTAATTAGATGATCTAGAGGGATTAATCTTGAGTTGTGCTGACAGTAGTAAAATTAGTAGTGGTTAATGTGTTTCATGTAAATTAGTCACAGAGATAGCTTGTGCTTCTAGATATAATTAAATTTTAAAGGCCTAGAGCAAATTGAATCATGTATGCGTGTGCCTGGAAGTTCCTAGTGACCTTGTTAGTTTCATAATTTATGTCTGATATTTGAACATGGTGACTTATGAAATCTTATTCAGACAATTTCTCGGCCATCTTCAGAACCTTATGATTTGGTGAGGACATTGCGCATGGCTGGATATGGACTGCTAATTTTAGGGCCATCGCTGCATTTTTGGTTCAACTTTATGTCAAGACTCTTTCCGAAACAAGATATAATCACTACTTTTAAGAAAATGGCTATGGGGCAGACTACCTACGGACCTACAATGACTGTTGTATTCTTCTCCTTGAATGCTCACCTACAAGGTATGTATGTTTATTTCCTGCTGTCCTTATGAATTATATAAGATCAATATGATTCTTTTTTTGCTCCATTATAATTAGGTCTTGTCATGAACTCTGAAAATGCAAGAGTATCATTCCAGCTAATTATTATTGTTAGAAATACCATTCCAATACAACTTTGAAACTATTAAGGTTATAGAAACCTTTTATTGAAAAAATGCAAGAGATCAGTTAACATTTCATTAATTTTAAACTTTAGTTTTATGGTAATTATTACTGTTAGAAATTTAAGATTTTGCAGTAATTGAACATCTATGAATTTTCTTACCAATTGATAGAAAAAAAAAAGCGTTTTATCAACTAATTATTCTAAAATGTATCTCAATTTTGTTAACTTGCATATTTGCAAATGCAGTGGTATGCTTTTGGGCTCTTAGTGGTGTCTATTGGAAAACATGAAGATATTTCAAAAATACCTACTCTTCCTCCTATTAAAGGGGAAAACATTATCAAGGGCAAAATTATGCAGTCAATTCTTTATTCTAAGCTAGATACATAAGCTGTAGCAAGCTACTCAACAGAAAGAAGGTTGTCCTTGTTGGCTAACAGAAATCTTCCATTGACCTGGCGACTAATTGACTTGACATAATTTTACGGATAAATACCTAGATTTATTTAGTAGGCAAATCAATGGCGGATTTTCAATAGCCCTCTTTCCTTCAAGTAGTTTGCAAGCAGCTTCTGTATCAAGATTTAGAGTAATTAAAGGAGTGCATGGTCTTGCTCTAGAATATGTCTTCACCTTTATTAGCATGAAATTTCTGTATTTTTGGAATATCTCCATGTTTCTTAATGCACAACATCAAGGCTCAAACACGTACTGCATATACAAACATCCATGTTAACAAGATAGATATATACTTCAGGGATAATTAATTAATTTATTGATAAGAGCACTTTTTTAAGAATCAGTAAGAAAATCTGCTTGGCTTTACAGAATCTTAAATTTCTAAAAACAATTAACCTCATACTAGAGTTTTAAAATTAGTGAATGTAACTCACTGATTCCTTATTATAACCAAAAAAGAAGAAGAAGAAGAAGAAGAAGAAGAAGAAGAAGAAGGTTTCTACACATTAAAACATGCAAAACCATTAAAACAACAGAGGAAAATTATAGTGCAAAACCAATAATTTAACATACTTAACATGTCAAAGGGTGTGGCCTAGCCAAGCAAGTATTTAAGTATCTCATGGTGGGTTGGGAAGCCTGAATTAGCCCATTCTAATCCAAGAACTTGAAATCTTGTTGAGGGGTTTGAAGTTTAGTGGAACTAAATGAACAATATTTCCAAACACCTCCAAAGGATCCAGTCAGTGTTGCTGAAGGTGCTGGGCGCCTCTAGGTGGCAGGCCTCCACCTAGAGCCTAGGTGTTGCCTAGATCGCCTTGGCAATTTGTGCACTACCTTTTTTATAAAAAAAATCCAAAAATTCAGAAATTTAGGGGAAATTTAAAAAAAAAAATCATTTAAAAGTCTAAAATCAATTAATCAACAAAACTTAATAGAAGTCTAGAATCATCATAACTGAAATCAATTAATGAAAGTGAAGGAGAAGAAGAATTGAAGTTGTAGAAAAGCCTAAATGATTGGGGTTCGGAAAAAGGGGGTAGGGCTGTATTGCCTTGTCGCCTAGGTCAAGGCAGGTGGCATAGGGCTGCCTAGAGCATAAGCGCTGCCCAGGCGAGCCTAGGCTGACACTAATAATCCTAACTCGTGAGTCGTGATGATTGGATTTTCTCAAGGACAACTAGGGTATAGTGGGAACTATCTGTGACAACTATGCCACTAATGCTGGCACCAATAATCCTAACTTGTGATGATTGGATTTGACAACTTTGCTGCTGGCTAGACTTATTGCTCTGGTATTAATTAGCTCTAGAGAAGGCAGCTTATATATGATCTTCCATTAAAATTATAAGAGAAATGGTCAGAGAAGGTAACAACAATAAAGATGTTATTTTTTGTGTATTTGATATTTGGGTAAATTTACATGCATGGTCTCTCACCTTTATCATGACTTTCAATTTTGTCATTCTCCTTCTAAATATATACATTTAGTCACCAAACTTTGTTTTAACATGTTGCCATTTATCACTTTCTGTTATCTTTCAAATTTGATTTAGTGATGACATGGGTCTTACATTGCATGAAATAAAAGAGTTAAGGCCAAACCATTTACCTGCATATTTTTCTTTTGGCATGCTGACCTAATACAAAGTATTTTTTTATTTCATTTTTTTAATTATTTTAAACAAAAACTAGGTCCAAATTTTGTTTTTTTTAAAAGAGGCTTAATTCTCAATATATTTCTTGTTAACTTTGTTAACACTCCCTTATAGTACGTCTTTTAGGCTCTGTAATTTTCAATATATTATAACTATTTATGCCCAAAGGAAAAAATTAATTACCTCAAAATCAATTGCTTTTGCCATTGTTAACAAATCGCTTTTTGTATGCATTGGTTTTAGAGTTTCGTGTGGGTTTTGAAGTTGAGACAGAAATGTGAGTTTATTGTGGATTCTCACCCAAAAATTTCAGTCTAAATTTCATCTAATGGATGGAATTTTGTCAAAAAAAAAAAAGAGGTGCAAAAGAACAATGAAAGGTTTTTGAAGGTGAGGGAAAGTGATGAAGTTCCACATGAATTAAAAACAAATTAGAAAACAAAGGAAAGACATCATCATTTTCTATTTTATGAACTGAGCGAAATTGCATTCTACCAAGTAATGCATCTAAAGTGTACAAGTTATGTTAAGAAACTGTTGCTGTGTAGCTTATCTAAGTGATTGTCATGTTGTGATTGTGTGACACAGGTGAAAGTGGCACTGAGATTGTTGCTCGATTGAAGCGAGACTTGCTTCCTACTTTGTTCAATGGCGCCATGTACTGGCCCATATGTGATTTTATTACTTTCAAATTCATCCCTGTCCATTTACAGGTATATCTATGCATTCATTCTCTCTTGCTCTCCCGCTCTGTCCATTTACAGGTCTTTTGTTTTCGGGTTCACTTTTTTCCTTGGTCAAGCCTTTGTTTGTGAATTTGATTCTTGGTGTTTAATTTTGACAGCCACTGGTAAGCAATTCATTTTCATATTTGTGGACTGTCTATATGACATACATGGCAAGCCTAGAAAAAGCAGGCACAGCTACCAACTGATTGATCCTTTGCCATCAAGCCTTCTACGTACAAAAAGGCCACAACCTGAGTAGAAGTAACACTTTCTTATGTAGTGATCGTAAGCTAGCACACTAACAAGCTAGCTCCACTTTGATTGGGTCATGAAGGAACGGTATTTTGATCATGGGTTTTTTTTTTTTTTCCATTTTTCTTTTATTCAGTTTAGTTTTGTAATGTACAAGGTATTGTGTAAGAACAATAGTTCAAGCAGAAATTTGAATCAGAAATTCTTGAGGCTGCAGGAAAATATGATTATCAGAAACGTTACAATAAGTTAAATAAATGCATGCATAGAGAAAATTCAATCCATATTTATGCATTCAATCCATATCATGTGGACCAACTGAAAGAAGTGCTACTATTTCGAGTAAAATATCCTTCTTTTCATTGATAACTGAGTACATTAGGGGCAAAAGGTTGAAAAAGAAAACACAGAAAGTAGAAGAACTGAAGGATGGTTCTGAAATCCTAAACACAAGTCTAAAAGATAACTAGAATTTTACATTTAATGTGTGCACATTCCAACAATCCAGTAACCATTGATGCTGAAATTTAAATGCTACTTCGCCACCTGATTCAAAACTTTTAACAGCTCCCTTGGCCAAATGCTATTAATCTCTATAACAGGACGAGATCAAATCGTCTCAGAAAAGGGTATAGACTATAGAATGTAATGTAAAACCTGAATTGTAGATCCAACATGAACATGAATTCATATCTTAAGGTCAAATAAGACGGATAAGTTTGGTTGATGTGCTATCCTCACTCTTCAGATGCACGCAGACAAATTTTCTCAAGCTGTGTAGACCAATCATGACCAGGTAAATGAGGATTCAATTCCATTGCAACTCGGAAATCCAGCATGGATGCATAAAAAGACTTCCTTGACCTTTGAAAGTAACTCTGAGGTAATATCCCATTCAAACTTGGATTGAATTGACTATTTGTTTGCTTCAAGTGCTCACTTCCAGATGTTGACGCAGCTAAACCAACACAGGGCTCTATCAATCTTTTTAAGTAGGCATCCAATCCATTATTCAGCAGGTTAACACAGTCCAATGAGACACTTATTCCCTCCATCTCCAACTTCAATTCCAGACGACTTCCTAGTGATCTTGTATCAGGTAGCTCACCACTGCTCTGACAGCTCTCTGAATGGTAATTATTGCATGTCAAAATATTAGAAAGTGCTTTGCGAGCTCCACCAAAATTAGTAGAGATGCCAAGAGGAGCAGTAACAGGGCTTCTGCTTTGTACACATGGACTTGCTGCTGCCTGCTCAACCTCTTCTCCATCTTCCACAGATGCAACTTCAACTGGAGGTCTGCTCCCAAGTGAAAGCAATTCAGTTGGACTTTGCTGCTCCTGTACCTTGGAAACTGATTCTGCACATGCAACATTTTGGGGCTTTCCAAGGGGCCCCAATGGACTTATGCGATCGTGAAACCTCCTGTCGCGGCTAACAGGAGATCTTCCCCTGCGAGGGGAAGATGGAAATCCATCCCCATAAAGAGACTGAAGACAATTTCTCTGATACCCATTAACATTAAGGTTGCTTCCTACTCTTCTAGGAGTTTTAAGCGGTGGAATTTTAGAATTGCAGGCATTCTTAATAATTGATCTGATAAGCTGATTATGAAGAGGGACATTTTCCCTACCAATGGTCCTGATGCAAGACTTATCAAATTCATTCTTACTAATCTTCAAACTAAACAATCTTCTCAGCTGATCAAAGTACTTCTCAGCTCTTTGATGCCCAATCTTTCTTATGATCAAAGCCCTAATCTCCAAAGTATCCACACGGACAAAACTTCGATTGACCGCCATCTTGCACTTCAAATTTCTTATATTCACTTAAATGACACCTCATAAAAAATTGAACTTTCAATCAAAACCCAGATCATAAACTTAACACCAATCAAAATCCAAAAACCCTAATCTCGAAAGCCCGTTCCATCTGCATATCAACCGGAGTTTCATCAATATAACACCATAAATAACACTATTTTCCTTAAGCCCCAGACAAATGTATAGAAAACCCAAATAGAAATTCAGCTCAAAATGTCCGAAAGTCCAAATCCTATCAATTGATTAATGCTCATTGATACTTACTAAAAACCCATTATAACAAACGAAAGGAAAAGGCAAAGAAAAAAAAAAAAAAAAAAAAAAAAAAACAGGGTAATCGAACAAATTCAGAAGATTTTAAAAAATGATTACGAACACCAACTTGCACTCCTAAGCAATTTTGATGAAAATTGAAAACCCAGAAGGCGAATTGAGCATTGAACAAGGTAACGCTAGATACGTACCGGTCTGGGTGGAGGCCGATGACGAATGTGGGTATGGGTTCTGACTCTTTCTTCTTTGTTCTTCCTTTCGACAAAAGGTAGTGTTTGGTGATCGGCTATGCGTTCACGCTTCCTATGCCAGATGCATAAATAGAGACAAATCCAAACAGGGAGAAGGAATGAAGTTGTGCCGTGACTTGTGAGGGATTGGGAGTCGTCCTGTGTCCTGTGACATTCTTAAGACGGAACACACGTCTGCTTTTCTAACATGCTTGGCTGTGCCTTCCTAAGTTGTCAAACAATGTTTTATAACGAAAAATAATCAAGAAATAACTTCTTCTTTTTTTTTTTTGTATAATCTCTTAAATCTTATGTTTTATTGATATTTTTATTTTATTAGAGTTGATAATTTATAATATTATATATATTTATTTAATAATATATAAAAATTATATAAAATAATATTAAAAAAACTCGTTTACATATTATTATCGTTTTATAACATATGAAAAATAATCTTTTTAACATTAAATTATATAATAAAAAATAATCCTCTCTCATAGGTTGTATAATAATAAGCAATCATTTTTTGTACCTTAACTCACCTAATCCAAATGCCATGCAAATCAAATTTAAAATCTTTCATTTTCATTAAAAAAATTACTATTAAGTTATTTAAATATTTGGCAAAAAATACTCTTAATATCATGAATAATAATCATAAGAAAACTTAAATACTCATTGTGAATCAATATACGAAAAAAAAAAAAACATTCATTAAGAGTATTTAAATAATTTTACCAACACTTTGATAAAATTTCTTTTACTTTTATTTCCTTTCATTTTACTTCGTCACTTTTCCTTCCCTTTTATTTCATCGAATCAAATTTTGCTCAATGGTCTAAAAAAATCAAAAAATGTTTCTGTCTTTAAGGTTGGTTTAAGTATAAATGTAAATTATTTTTAACAATATATTTAAGTTAAGAAAAATTAAGGAAATGGGAGGGAAGGAGAAAAAATTTCTCTATGTAATTATAAAAAAAATTAGAGAGAATGAAATGAGAGAAAAAAAGGAAGTCATTTGTTTTTTTTTTTATTTATTCATCTATTTTTACTTTTTTTATTTTGTTATAAAAAAAATTAGAGAAAATGAGAGAGAAGGAGGAGGAAGTCATTTGCTTTTTTTTTTTTTTTCTTAATTCGTTCATTTATATTTACAATTCTCCTCCTCTCCCCTGCCCTCCCCTTTCCTCCATTCCCCTTAACACAAAACATATGTAAATTTTTAATCTAAAAATCAAATAAAAAAATGACTATAATTCTGAACCATATGGAGCACATGTTATAAGAGTGTTGGAAAACAAGTGGACTTGCACTCGGTCCACTGATCATTTACTTTTGTAATATAAATTACGTTGAACTACAAAAAAATAAAAATAAAAATGAACCACTAAATTAGAAGACTCCATATTTAAGTGACCTCTCTCATGGCTAGTTTGGTATAGTTGAGCACAATCTATGCTACAAAAACTATTTCTAATAGTTGTAATTTGTCAAAAAGAGAAAACAAGTAAATTTGAATCCGACATAAAATGTAAAATCAATTGATAAGAAAGAATAATTTATGATCTGTTTAGTTAGAAGCCAATTTATTAGAAAATTTTCATTATGAAAGCAATTGGAAACGTACAATATAAAAAATTGATAAGTTTTATAGTGAAATTTAATTAAAATTTTGTTAGGTTATTAATTTTATTGTCTTTAATAAGAAGCAATAGTAAAAAAAATTAGAAAAAAAAGTTGTGAAGTGGGTTCTATATAAAAAAGTTGAGGGAAAACTTTTTTCCTCAAAATGTGTGGAAAAAAAAGTTTACAAATTGTGAATTGAGTAAGGGAAAATAAGTCTAAAAATGTTATTTTTACTTTTTTTTTTTTAATATTAATATGTAAAAATATGTAAATAACTTTATAAAAAGAAAAGTTTAGAAAGGATTATAAAGGAAAATTTTCTATGGTCAAATAGCCCCTCGTGTTATCTTTAAGTACCGACGTTCATTTTTAACTTAGAATTTTACCCCCTTGACAGAAGAATTTAGCCAAGTTAACATTTATTAATTAAAAATATCTTGATTTAGAAATGTTATAAGTAAAGAGTTCAAACGAACTAAATTGGAATTCTTGCATGATCTATTTGTAAATAAGTTTATTATTTCAGTTTTTGAGTCATTATTAAAAAAATTCATTTTTAACTAATATAAAGAATGCACCCTTAACATTTCTTACACAGATAAAATTATTGTCACACTTTTACGTTTAGAGTACTTTATTTTATAATCTAGATTGTAAAATAAAAACTATTGATAAGTATTATATAATTTAGTGTGATCCAAACTTAAAAGTGAAAAAAGTATAAAAAAAAATCATTAATGACTAATGGGAAAAAAAAAAAAAAAACAATTTCACCAACTGAAACTAAAATGTTTTTGAGCTAGTACAGACAAAAGTACTTGTTCTAAAAAATTTAAAGAAACTCGTAAGTACATCAATTTAACAATATTCAATCTTTTAACTCTTGTTGATAACCACCATGTTAAACATGGTATTGTGTACATATTCTGAGTGGTGTAGTAGGAAATCAAACTTCCTCATGAATCATGATTCATTATACAGAAGAATGTATTATTGTGATCCTTACTCTAACTTTAAATCCTCTTCCAACAAGACTTCAGTGCCATCTTTTTCTATATTTGAAGGTGACAAAGCTGGAAGAAGACTAACTGAGACCTCATCAATCACCTCTTGGCGTGATTCTGGGACGTCCAGATGGCCTCCAAGGCTGGTACTTAAAAGAGCTGCTGGCTGTTCTGTTTCAAACCGAGTCCATTTCCTATTCTTTGCATGGACCAGAGTTGGGTACAGGAAGAACCCAAGAAGAATAACTGCACCACTCACTAAGAATGTCTTTAAGGAAGCTAGGCACATTACAAGAATAAGCAACATTGCAGGAGGTAGGCAAAGCATTGTTGCTCCACATGTCTGCAATGGAACTCTATAAGGTCTATGAAGATCTGGCTTCTTTAATCTCAATTTTATAAAAGCAGCAAACTCAAGAAGCATTCCTATGGCATATAAGAAGTTAAGGAACTCTAAAATTTCCTGAAAACTCATCCAAGACAAGAAGATAACTCCTGTGGCTGAGCATAGAATGCTTACGGTAGGTGTCCCATATTTTGACCTACAAAATGGAAATTGTACGTCAAAATCCTAAATTATTGAGGAAGAAAGGAACTAAGTCTTTTGTAACAAAACATTAAAAGAAGCAAAATCAAACTGAATGAATAACCTTGAAGCAAAGATGGCTGGAAGCATTCCCATCTCACTCATTCCAAGGAGTTGGAAGGCATCACTGCTCATCTCAGCTTCAAATAAACCCAGATTAGACATTGCAGCAGCTGCTTGAATCCACCATTTAAGCCAAAATCCTCCAATCAACATCCCAACTTCTGCAAAATACCCATCACTCCACTTGCTAGATGAAGTGTGCAAAGCCCCTGTACCAGCTAAAAGTGGAATCAAATATGAAGAAACCACCAAAATCACAGCACCAAAAAGTGCCTTTGGGAAGGTTTTACTCGGATTTTTTACCTCCCCTGTAAGTGTACTTGCCTTATCCCAATAATTCAGGTTCCAAAACATGCTATTGAAGTAACCCCTCCAATCCACCTTCTTAAAATCCACAACTAGCCACTGCTTAGGCCTTATATGAGGAACCGAAAGAATCGCCATCACAAGAAAAGGGAAAAGCGAGAAAACAGCTAACAAAACAGCAGAAAGCCCAACAATGTGCAATCCTCTATAATTCAAATATGTCAATGAAACTGTGATCCCTAAAAGAGCTGGAATCCTAGCAATTAACCTATTAAATAAAGGAAAAGAATGCTTCAAGTAATCAAGAAACAACACAGGATAAAGGGCGTTGTCCATCACCCCACTAAACCATTTCCAAAACCCTTCTTGGAACCCCCAAAAGGGACCAAAAGCTGAAGAAATCCAGATAACATAACCACCATTTTCAGGGAAACTCGTGGCCAGCTCCGCCGTAACCAGAGCTTCTGGGATGCTCCAAATCAAGGGAAACACTAAGAAACCCAGCAAAGATAAAAGAGGACCCCCTCCTGCCCTAACTGAATCCTCTACACCGAATGGACCCCCAGATACTTCATAGAAAATCAAAGCAATTAGAGGCAATACCGTTAACTTCGGATTGTTTCCCACATCATTCACCATCCCCTCTGCACTCATTCACAAGAGAACAGAGTGAAAAAAAAAAAAAAAAAAAAATTCAAAACTTTACACAGAAAACAGATCAAGGATTCAGATTTCAGATGCTTGGGTACTAACCCCAAAAACCCCAGATGCAAAAGAGTACTTAGAATCTCGTCCGAGAAAGTTCTACCTGTGTTTTCTGTTTTCCGAGGATTGTCGAGATGGGTTTTGCCTGAGTTTCCAACAGAGATTGCTCAGAGATCTTCAGTTGGAGAAGGTTCGACCTGTCTTTCCTGTTTCACGATTCTTCTTCTTCAAAAAGGAAAACATCAGAACGACGAATTTTCGGATTTCTGTCGTTGACCATCACTCTACTGCAACGGCATCAGTTTTAGACACGTGGCGAGTATGATACAGACGTTATCTCTGCGCGTGCAATATATAATACAACTTTGATTTTTTGGGCTAAATTTAAACCAATTAGTAGTAGCAATTAGGTTTAATACCCAATTTGGTCCCTAAACTTTCATTTCGAAACTTAATTCGTCCTTTAACTTTAGAAAGCACCCAAACCGTCCTTAAACTTTATATTTTTAGAACCCAAATGGTCCTTCCATTGACCAAAGTACCCAACTAGCACATTAACTTGCCACCAATTAACACTTTTATTTCAAAAAAACTACGTGGAAAAAAAATGATGATTTGGTAATTTTAACAAATTTAATAGGAGAGTAGTCAAGGGCAAAAAAAGAGAGGGGGTTCTCTCGGTGATTTTCAAGGGTTCTTTTTGGTCCATTTTTTGAACTTCTCTTGGGTTTTGGAAGTGAAAGCGCAACAGATCCTGGCCTAATTCAAGCGACATTTTGGTCTCCCTTAGCTAGGTAACTTCTAGATCCAAATAAGTAATGGGCGCCATCGAGTTTTAACCTCTAGGACTGCTCCAAATGGTGTACCTGAAAGCATGACGACCTACAAAGCGCCTCTTACGTGCCTATTTGTTCATTTTAAGTATTTGGTGATGGGTTTTTGGTTGAATGTACTATTCCACTTTAATCTTGAATATACATGCTTAGTTCTAGTTTATGTTGGTGAATTTTAAATGCATTTAGGCTCCATTAGGTCCTGGTTTTGGTCTTTGATTTTCTTTTTTCTTTTTCTTCTTTTTTTTTTGCAATTTCTTTGGATTTTTAACTTTGGTCGGAATCTAGAAATTCTCTTGAAATTTTAGACCAGGGGTAGAATTTTTAGACCCGCTGATCCTTGGAAATCACATGGAAAATGGGCCAAAAATACTAAAAGAACAAATTCAATTTCTCGTGAATTTTCTTTGCAACAAAACAACTAGGCTACCCAAAAAATTTGCAAAAGAAATACATGTCCTTCAATCCAATTCCAGCTACATGAAATCTAAAGCTTAACTTCAACAATTCAATAAAAACCCCATAAACCAATTGGAATTTTTTTCCCATGATTTTCTCACCAACCAAACAAATATACAGATAAACATACCACAAAGCAAGAAAATTTTCATTCAAATTCTCCTAGATTTACCATGAAATCTGAATTTTTTTTCCCAAGATTTTCTCACCATGATTTTTCCTCCAACCAAACAAATACCCACTTCATGGATCATATGCAGAGCTCCATCACAAAGCTTCACACCATTGCCATTGTTGTTGCTAGCCTCCATGAATTATAGATCGATGCTCATCCAGATTGCTCATCCAAATTGGAGCCATACCATTCAGATCGGCATCATTTATCGATGTTTGTTGCTTCGTAACCACTTGTGACACCTTGGTTTTGATCAATCAGGAATTCCAAGTCCTTAGGTTAAAACTCCAAACCTAATTTGGGTTGAATCCCCAATCCCAATATGCGTTCTAAAGCCCAACTAGAAATGAAAAGAAGAAAAAAAAAAAGGGAGAAAGAAAAGGGAAATGAAGGAGGAAGGAGGAGAATGGAGAGTAGAGAGAAAAATGAGAAAGGGAAAGAATGCTGTCACTGGCATTGGTGTCGATGTCGGTGCTGGAGAATAGGGAAAAGAACAAAAATGGCAAAGGGATAGGGGTTGAAGATAAGGGAGGGTTAATATTGTAATTGTATATTTTTTTTCTATTAATTTATTAGAATTACCAAATCATTATTTTTTTTCCACATAGTTTTTCTGAAATAAAAGTGTTAATTCGTGGCAAGTTAATGTGCCAGCTGGGCACTTCGGTGATGGAAGGACCATTTGGGTTCTGAAAAAATAAAGTTTAAGGACGGTTTGGGTGCTTTCTGAAGTTAAAGGATGAATTAAGTTCTGAAATGAAAGTTTAGGGACCAAATTGGGTATTAAACCTAGCAATTAACTGTTAAGCTATTGAGTTGTTATCACTTTCGTATTGAAAGTTTGTTTTCTTTCGAAAGGGTCCAACAACTTTAAATTGTATCAACGCCATCCCCATAAGTTTTTCATTCATTATCACTGTGGAATCCATGTTAGCACTTAACAAAATAGGATTTTTTTTTTTTTTTTGCTGTAAAAAGAAGAGGGTGTTTTTTTCAATCCCTATTGCACAAAAAGTACAAACTTTTTTTGTACAAACTATTAAAGTATATATATTTTTCTTTGGGCTAGGGGAAATTGGAGTAAGGGGGATAAGAAGGCTGTTAATGCTATTACAGTGGTTAGAATTCTGGCAGTTGCCAAGAGTATGATGCATTTGGATCAATGTAACCAAAGTTGTGGGTGCACAAACTATTAAAGTATTAAAATAACTTTAATAAATAAAATTAATTAAAAATATTTCAATACTTTTACTGCCCAAGCAGCTTGTCATCTAAATTC